AACTTTTAGGGTCACCCTTCACACTGCTGCTATGGTTGCCAGATGGGGTCTGGGCCCAGAGCAGGTCTGTCTTGGGCTGGCCAGCAGTGTGTGGGTTCGTGACCCTGTGCAGGAAAGATTTCGCAGCACACGCTGATTATTACAGCTGGGGACAGTGAACCGAAGGAAGGGCTGAACAGGAGAGAGAAGGTCAGAGAAAAGGAGGGCCTTGGAGACAGGTTCAGGGGTGAGCCTGGGATGAGCTCTGCTGCTGGCTGCTCCGCTGGTGGCAAATCTAGTAGGGGCCCTTCGAGTTTAGGAGAAAGAGAGCAGAGATACAAGGTGTGGGTGTGCTCCAGGGAGAGTGCATGTTGGGACCTTTGTCTGGAGACTTTTTGTCTTCCTTTGACTGGCGGGGAATCTAAAGGAGGTCTCATGGCAGAGTAGTACCAGAATAGTCATTAGCATCCTAGATGCGTTCTTCAGGATGCTGATTCATCCAAATGTGCATCCAGAGGGGCCAGCGGTTATTTTCCCGTTAGTTTCGTTTTTAAAGAACATCATCAAGAACCTCAGGAAGAGGGACTGGCGCCGAGGCCTTCCTGCCCTGGCCGGTCTGCAGTGTGCACTAACTGTCCGCTCTCAGTGTCCTGGTTGGGGAAGACCAAACCTTGTGATTCATTAGCTGGCTGTAAGTTGTTCCAACCCTGTGGCCTTGTTTAATTATTTTTTCTGTTCCCCTTATGCCACCTGTCAGGGAATTTTCCTATCTTCTTACTATCCTGTCTCACCCACGCCATCATCTTATTAGAATACTTAGTTGAAAGTTACCCGGGAACTACTCCGACCAGATCTAATGTTCTATTTTTCATCCTCATTCTTCTTCTTCTTACTCAATCATTTGATCGTGGTTTGAACACTCGTTGTTATTAATGTACTAACTCTTGACCACCATGTATTTTGACCCCTCTGTCTCCTTCCTGTCTGTTGTTTCTGTGGAAGTCAGTCACCAACTCATAGCTTTGAAGAATACAAAAGTATTCGCCGAGTCATTGCCATCCCCTTTCCTTTTTGTCTATTCCTTGAATCTTGAGCACACACAAGATTCCATCTCACAGAATCATCACGTATAGCCTGCCCTATGACTTTAGATACTCATTTAGGTACCCAATTAATACAGTCTCAGGCTGATCCCTGAGAGAGAGAGAGAGAGAGAGAGAGAGAGAGAGAGAGAGAGAGAGAGAGAGAGTTTGTGTGTGTGTGTGTGTGTGTGTGTGTGTGTGTGTGTGTGTGTGAGAGAGAGAGAGAGAGAGAGAGAGAGAGAGAGAGAGAGAGAGAGAGAGAGAGAGAAGGGTGGGATGGGAATCTGGGTGGCTGTCTTGATGCATGTGCTCCTTCACATTGTAAGTGCTTACAAGTAGAAAGGATGAGCAGTGATTTGAGCATGTATTTCAGAGCCAGAACTGTGTTCCAATGCACTTGCTCATAGGAACTCTGTCACGAAAGCTGTCTAAAGCCAACTTCTTCATCTTTAAAATTAGACAATGATACTCGCCCCTCTAGAGAGAGCTGGCAAGTAAGATTTATGTGAAAGGAGCAGCATACAAGTACAGGAGACTCAACCCTGATTCCTCCCTGTGCTTGTAACCTCCCTCCCGTCACCCATTTCAGTAACACAATAGTCAAGCTTTATTTTGGTTTGACTGATTGACTAATTGGAATATTAGAACAGTTGGAATAGTCTGGCTAATCAACCAAATCCCTCCACCATGTCCACTCAATAATGTAAAGTTTTATCTCAATAAATCACTTTTATCTCAATAAATTACTAACCAAGATTTTATTTTTTAAGAAAATGCTAATATAGGGAAGAGAGGGGCACAATATGTTTCAGGTGACTCTGACATATTAATTGTGGAAACCTCTTTCATGTCCTTGGTTCATGGTCCAGGGTTCCAGTTCAGGGTTCGGGTTTTGGAGAAGGCCGCACACAACTGAAAAGAAACTAGGAAAGCATTAATTTGGGAGATGGGGGCCAGATGGAAGCCCAAGAGAGGACTACTCCTCGCTCTGGCTTTGCCATCCCCATTATTAAGATTATGGGATACACCCACATCCCTCAGACAGGAAACTCCAATAATAGCCAACCACACGACTAACATGTGGAGGCTGCTTCATCCACCAATGTCTCAACCAAACAGTGAGTGATTAGCCCTGACCTTTCAGAGCAATCAAGGTTCCCCAGCCTTCGGGATTCCCCATCCACACCTCTCCACAAGTAAAACAAGATCGGCTTCCGGAAATTAATAAAGTCATTTGGGAGGGTCTATAATGTGACAATCACAGCATCTAGTTTATATCTGATGAGCTTACTTCCTGTGATTTTATTTAGTTTTTGTTTGTATTGATTAATAGAATTAGAGATGGTAAAAGTTGCTGAAGGAGCATGTAAAACACAGAAATGCAGGCATCTTGACCTAATATCCTAAATATCACAGTCTTTTTTTTAGTACATTTTATTGATTTTTTTTACAGAGAGGAAGGAGAGAGATAGCGAGTTAGAAACATCGATGAAAGAGTCATCAATCAGCTGTGTCCTGCATACCCCCTACTGGGCACGTACCCGAAACCAAGGTACATGCCCTTGAATCGAACCTGGGACCCTTCAGTCCAGTTTTGGCTAAATATCACCATCTTTTGTTCCTAGTAGTGAAGCTATGGGGACTTAAAGGAGACGCCCAAGGCCAGCACTGAAGTAAAAGTGTCCCCAGCCCCCAGGGGCTGATGTGGGAACAATGATAATCGCACTTCTGGTAAAGGGGACCACGTGAAACCCTAGACGTGACTGAGGCAGGATTTGTTGGTAATCCTGGGGCGCCTCAGTGGAAGTTGGCGCCGTGACTCAATGGCCAGCTGTCCTGCCCAGGGCTCCCGGGCGCCTGTGGTCCGTCCCCCTCACCACTCCCAGGGGGCCTAACGGGAGGTGCTGGCCACGCAGCTGCTTCCCTGGCAGGACCTCACCGCCGCTGCCAAGGGAGCATTTTGTTCCTTTATCTTCAGGGCTTTGAAGTCAGTGGCACTGAGCCCAGGGAATGGCCGCTGAGCCTAGCTCTCTGCCTGTGAAATAAGACCTTTGCAGAAAGAGCTCAGCAATTTCTTTCTAACCCATTGGCCTGCCTCATCGCTCTGGATGCCACTCCTTCATCTCGGGAATGTTCCATGGGAGTCAGATGAGAGACGCAGCCTAAGAGGCAAATACCAAGGCAGGGAAGCAGCCAACACTGGCCACCGTGACTGGTCACCGCTACCGTCTACCTTCCTTTATCCCAAGAAGGCCCACTGTTTTGGTCTTGACTGTTTTATTATCTGTCGCTCTGTTTTGACTTCTTAAATTGTATTTGGTTTTTGTGGGGTTTTTTTTTTAGAGAGAGGAAGGGAGAAAGAGAAAGAGAAAGAGAGAGAGAGACACAGAGACAGAGAGAGAGAGAGAGAGAGAGAGAGAGAGAGAGAGAGAGAGAAACATCTATATGTTGTTCCACTTACTGATGTATTCATTGGTTGCTTCTTGCATGTGCCCTGACCAGATATCAAACCCACAACCTTGGTGTATCGGGATGGCCCTGTAGCCCACTGAGCTACTCAGCCAGGGTGGCTTATTTGTTATTCTGGAGCTTCTTGGAACAATTGGGAAAATAGTTCAATTAACAGGCCCCGAACTTGGTCATATAAATGCACGCGCATTAACTCCCTGTAAGAAGCCATCTTTATACTTTGTCATATTAGTTTTGGCTTATGTACAAAAAGATTGCCACGCTACCTTACTGTCCTTAATAACTTACTCTATTTCTCTTTTTTAAATATAGCTTGTCTACGGATTCCCTGGTAGTTGCATTTCATTCCTAAAAATACATCAAATTAGGATTTACAAAAATTACAGGCTTAAAGAGGATATTGTTTTGCGTGGTGTTGGACAGTTCAGATCAAACACCTGTTTCGTGGTAATTCTTTGGAGCCTTCACCTACTGGGGGCGGGGGGGACTGCTCCTCCAGGCGCACCCCACACCCTGTCCTCACCTGGATGGGTCTGATGTCTCATCTGTCTCCATCTCTGGACCCTGAGATCCTGTGGCAAGGATATATTTTTCTTTGTCTCCCCAGCATTCAGGGAAATGTTCGACACATAGTAGGTGCTTTAAAAAGCTTTCACTGAATGAAAACTAAAGTTACTTTTCTATAGCTTTCCAGTCAATCCATGTATAATTTTTTTTTTTTCTGACATCAGTCCAAGCTGCATCACGGGCTAATTGGATGAGTCCTCGTTGAGATCATGGAGCTGCGGGCTGCCCGAGGACTGAGCTCAGGATCTGCAAATAGGACCATGCTCAAGGCTTGACTTACGGACTCAGTTTTACCAGCTATTCCGAATATCACGTGTAGGAACCCAGTACACAAAACCTTCAAAGTGTTCATACTAAAAAATAAAAATTAAAAAAAGGCAACAATGTGTATGTGGATTTCAAAGCCCGGATTTGGGAATCCGGATCGGAGAGACATGACGTGTGTTTATTTCCAGGATGGAAAGTCAGGAGTCTGAGCCGGGCCCGCCTTGCAGGGCCCCCTGGAACCGGTCCGGCCAATGGGCCGGTGGACGGTATAAATAGGCGTGGACGGTATAAATAGCCCGGAGCCCTGGCCCCCGGACTGCTGCCGGCCCAGCTGTCTCTCCGGACAGGACTGCAGCCAGCAGCCAGCACCGAGCAGCCAGAAATCCAGCGGCCAGCACCCAGCACCCAGCAGCCAGGCAGCCAGTGGCCAGCAGCCTGCTGCTAGCACCCAGCAGCCAGCACCCAGCAGCCAGCACCCAGCAGCCAGCACTCAGCACCCAGCAGCCTGCACCCAGCAGCCAGCACCCAGTAGCCAGCACCCATCAGCCAGCAGCCGGGCAGCCAGCACCCAGCACCCAACGGCCAGCGGCCGGGCACCGGCACTTGAGCAGCCCGCTGCCCACATTCCCAGCGGCCATGTCGGTGCTGGAGGAGGGCCGGCCCTTTGCCCAGCAGCTGTCCAACGTCTACTTCACGATCCTGTCCCTCTTCTGCTTCAAGCTTTTCGTGAAGATCAGCCTGGCCATCCTCAGCCACTTCTACATCGTCAAAGGCAACCGCAAGGAGGCGGCCCGCATTGCAGCAGAGTTCTACGGCGCCGCCCCGGGCCCAGGTAGGTGCCCTCTCTCCGGTCCGCAGCATCTTCCTCTCCTGGTCCCTCCGGAGGGATGTCATACACTTCTTGTTTTGGAAAATGTTTTCTAACTCCATGGTTTCGTTTAAAAAAAAAAAAAAAAAAAAAGGACTTTGCTGTGGAACTGAGTTAGTAAAAGGAAGGCATCTTTGCAAACCAGATGGATGGGAACCTACTTTTAAACACACGTTGTTCTGGCAGAGGGGGCTCTGTTGGGTGGAGCGGTACCCCATACATCAACTAACCATACACTGATCTGTGCGTAACTATTTTAGACCTTTAAAATCAGAGTTTTACAGGCTCTGATCACTGGTTCCCCCAAATGGTCTGTTAACAGATAGCCAAAGTTTTATGATTTTTGTTCAAAGCTTTAGGCCTAGAGAAGCCTGTATTCAGAAGTGGAGATTTTGAGAGCTGATGTGTTTGCCACCACTTCCATTTTCCTGAGATGAAGCACGCGGTTATAGGATAAGGCGTATCAGCAGGATGGGTGGCGTGGTGTTCCTGGTGGCTTGTTGTTGTTTTGCTCCATTCATAAGAAAGGGATGATGAGAGGATAAGAACATGAGTTAACAAGTGTGTGTGTGTGTGTGTGTGTGTGTGTGTGTGTGTGTGTGTGTGCGCAGCCAAGTACAGCCCCCACTCTGCCCAGAAGAAATGGAAGTGTGAAACCACATGAGACACAATGGTTTGGATCAGAGACTTTAAAGACTGTAAAATAACTTATGTTCTACCAGTCTGATACTCTGTACAATCAAATCCGTTCTTGGGCAGGTTTCAAGGTGATATTTTAAGTTCTGATGGTAAGTCTTTTGGTTAATTTCTGGTTGTGAAAATAGTCAGGCAAGCACACACAGATTTTAGATCGCCAGATATCTCTACCATAACTGACATTTCAGAATTGAAATGTCCTACCACACAATTATAGAAGGCAACTTTTTCCCTAGAACACTTAGAGTGGAGAACTTGACCTCTTAAAAATCTGATTGCTTCCGTTTTTCATTTTGTGAAAATGGTTCATTTTAAAGGCAGGTTACCCTGTGTACATGGAAAGTTGAGTGAAGGTCGGAAATCTGTTTTTGGTGTGTGAGGTAGATCACGAGTATCTCTTTCCTGAGGAAGTGTTTTCTTATGCAAAGCGAGGGCTTTATGAGCTCATTAGAAGTGGGTGGGACCTAACTGCCAGAGTGCAACTCCCAGGAGGAGAGGAAGGTGGGCCGGGAGCCAGGAGGCAGCATTTGACCTGCGCCCACAGAGGGCTTCAGAGCAGGTGGAGCTGTGGAAATGTGGCAGACTAAACATCTTGCTTAAAAACTCACTGGTAGACTGAACATCTTGTTTAAAAACATCAAACACGAAGACTAGATTTTTAAACAAAACCGCATTTCCAGATACAGGACTAAATAGATGATGTGATCACAGGTACCAGCACAGCAGCCTACAGCTCATTACCATGATTCCTAATCAAGTCTTGTCTACAAATTACGAGAATTGCCATATGTAAAAGCTTAAAATATAGGCTAAAACGCTATAATTGTGTGTGTGTGTGTGTGTGAATTGACAGGGATTTTAGAGGAAGCTATGGAAGCTCATTTTTGCACATATTTTTGTGCAAATAAAAAGCAACCATCAGCTTCTCTTCAGCATGGTCCCAGTGTGATTAAGCTGGTGTGACAGGCATATACAAAATGGCCCCCTGCTTTTTACAAGTCTGTGTTAAGATGTATGAGAACTCTAGGATTATTTCCAAAAAGGGGAAGAAGGAAATGAACACTCACTAATAGAAAACCCTTTTCCTAGGAATAAGTAAGTTGTTAACAATTTTTATTTTGTGTTGTTTTTAGTGGTAGATCTTTTTAACAACATTCTGCCTTCCAATATCTTGCATTAATCTATATATTAAGTAATGGAATATATTGTTAATTTTATTCAGTTTAAGCATAATTAGTCTCCTTTTTTTAAAAAAATTGTATTAGAAGGAGAATCAGATATCTAGCAAGCACTTTATTGATCTCCCACATCTAAGCATTCATTCTTTCTTGCTCAGGAAATTATTATTTTCTTCATCTTAATGTAGCTTGTCCTTTTATTTACTACAAATAAGCTATTTTTATATCGATTATATTTTTATGATTAACTAATCAGGCTCAGTTATCTTTGTTTAATCTGGCAATTGGCTCCTTCCTTGGAGAGATTGTCACCTTTACTCCACGTTGAATTAGGTTTCCTCTTCCTCCTTTCAAGACTCAGCCAGATGGCTCCCCAACATTTCTGATGTGGGGGTGCCAAATTCCGTGAAATAGGAGCTCGTGTGTGTGTTTCCACATCCTTCATAATCAGAGAAGACCCTGCTGACAGCCCTCTGGATGTCCTCCCCATGAGCAGTATGCTCCGTAGGAAATGAAATAGCCCGTGTCTTAGACTCACCCAAATCAGCCCTTTGTGCTCCACAGATGTCAGGTGGTCCTAACACTCTTTCCCAACAGGCTTGAGACCCAGGGGTGATTACCCAGCAAGAGTGAAAATGCAGCACAGTTCAATGGTAGCTAACATGGCTTAAGGCTTTCTCGACTCTGTTGTTATTCCGATAAAACTACAATATGCCTTTTCATCTTCTGTACCAATGACTTTCCTCCACACCACATCAAGTAGAAGGGACCTCCTTGCCACACACCTTGTTATGTAACTACCGCCTGAATCGCTCTTGCTGTTTAAGGTCTTGGTGGCAATCGCTGTGAACCAGAGGTCTAGTCCATTTTTATAGCTAGCCCTGGACTTGGAGACTTATTGTGAGACTAACAGTAGTAGAAACAGAGAGCAAATGAGGCTGCGGGGAGTACACCGATTTTCTGAAGTCACTCCAAGGTCCCCAGAGAAGCCACGAGCTGCTGATATTCCAAGAACATCACGGGAGTTAGCTGGCTCCTCTGCTCAGTTAAGGGCAATATTTTCAAGTTCTGTCTTAGGCTCTGAAGGAAATTCAGTAGATTTACCCACAAGGCCCCGTTCTAAGCACTTGTTTATTGAGCTCCCCTGATAACAAGGAACTAAAGAAACAGAATACAACAAAGACAAAAGGTATCATTCCCACCTAATTGAGGAGATAGTATATCAGCATATAATACTGACTTTCCAGGTACACTCTTACCAAGGAATCTGGCAAATGGGAAGACCAGTCTCAAGTCAGGACTTTCGGAGATATTCATGGTGAGGCAGACCTTGAGTTGACAGAGGAAGGAGCTGAAGCTTGGATTTAAGCCTAGACTATGAAGAGGCAATAGATTTGACTGCAGAAGAAGGTTTATGAAGCAGAAAACGATGTTAATAACTTGAGCACCGGTATGGAAAGAATTTGAATGGCAGGCTAAGCAATTTGAACTTAACTTTGAAAGCCATAGGAGTCATTGAGAGTTTCTGGAGCTCGTGTGTGTGTGTGTGCGCGCAGGAGGTGGGGAGGGGTGGTGAATGGGAAAGCACATGCATAAAATCCTAATTTAAGATAGATTTATATATCCGTGATCTTTGGAATTGGGCAATGGGACAGGCTTGAGACAGGTAGCTGAGGAGCTCCCTGCCATAAAGAGATGAGGCTTGTTTGTTGGTGCTGGCACTGATAGAAAAGAATGACAAGAAATACAAATTAAAGAAAGGAGAAAGGAAGAATGGATGAACCTGACGATTCCTTTGAATAACATTGGCAGAGGGAGCAAATGTTACCTTAGGGAACTATCTCCCAGAATTCGGTTTAACCTATCTAAAGAAAAATATGTCAGTCATGGGATTCACTGATACACAGGCTGCAGTTCCCAGCCACCCCAGGGAGGTGGGTCCTTGGCTGCTTAGCCACCTCCTCTCTGGTGAGAAAGATCAGGGTAAATCAACTAGAATCTGAACTCTGTTCTTGCATTTGATTTATTTAATGTATTTTCCCTCTGTCCCACCTTTTCATCACCAAGCCACCTCTGATTATTACTTGACTCTCCCTCCAGACCTGTCCACAGAAGGAGAATGTGATGGTTTGACCCAGCACTTCATCAGCCCATCCGACACTAGCGGTCCTCGTTGTAAATTCATGTACTTGCGTCTTGGTGTCAGTATGTAGTGTTTGTGCTCTGTGAGTTGTAAGCGCATCTCTGAGATGTGAATTTGCTCCAGCTTTGCTGCCAGATCGGGTTTCTAAGCCTGTGAGGCCATGGACACATCCGAGACTGTGGAAAACTCATCAAGGTACTGTCTCTTTGAGGCTGCTTGAAAGACAGTCTCATGACTCTCAAGCTCTCTGGCCCTCTTTGCACCCCTGAGGCTTTCTGTGGAATACAGGAGAGACGGGGCACCATCGCATGGGATAGCCCTGTTTGTGATCTGATAACCTTGGACCTAGGGTTGCCAGGAAGCATGCAGTGCTTTTCTCGAGCTGTCTATTGTTGATAATTGGAAACTAGCTACTGTGTAAGCAAGTCACCAAAGTCAAAGGGCATGTCAGTTGGAGAACAGTGTGAACTGGGTGGGAAAGGCAACTGGAATCTTACCTAACCTTACCAAATAATAGACAAACATGTAAATTGACCGTGCCTCTGCTACACCCACAGCCAATCAGAGTGACCATGCAAATTAACCCAACAAAGATGGCAGGTTAATTTGAATATGCAGGCATGGAGGGTCAGAAGAGTATGCCTGCTATGAGGGGGAGGAGGGTTGGCAGAGGGAGCTATAGAAGCGGTACTTCAGACAGAAGTGAAGACTTGCTGGCTCCCCGGGCAGCTGGAAGTGAAGCCAAGGGAAGGAAGGCCTATTCTTGCACAAATATCGTGCAACGGGTCTCTAGTTTTGTATAATGTCATGTCATTTTTTTTTTTTAATCAGTAAAGTCCATCCCAGGTCTTAAAGCTACGCCAGGGATTTAACTTGACAGTAGATGCCGAGATGGCACACAGGGGTATTTCTCACACCTGCTTCCCAGGAACTCCATTCAGGTGGTG